ACACACACACACACACACACACACACACACACACACACACACACACTCACAGTCCACTCAAATGTCTGATGCAATTTGTTGACAAGACGAGAGAAAGGGCAGCGGCAACAAGCGTGCAGAGATCTCTTTTTCCTCCAGTTTCCTCCCTCTCTGCTGCAGCGACCTGACATATCGACATCAAACAGACGGACCGTGACGGCTGCTTTTCCACTTATCTGCTCACGTTATTCATGTTTACTGGCACACGCTGGGGTGTGACGACAAAAAAGTCATCACAATGATAGATTTATTAAATAGTAGCCACTTTTAGTTCATAGATTAGGTTTGTTTCCCGCAAACTAAACTCTGATAAACTCACTGTACATTTAGCAACGAAAGGGACGGACGCAGAGACTGAGTGACTGTGACTCCAAATGAATGCAGATGTTGCTCTGTGTTTTACAGACGCATGTCGGCAACGGAGGTGGCGTTTTGCCCCAGAACATCCGGACAATTTATCAAGCTTTAAAACGTTAAATTAAAACTTTCAGCAGCATCAATAAAGTGGTTGTTTTGTATCTTTTAACTTTTCCTCTTTACTAGATCATAAAACATATACAAAATAAAAGATATAATTTGTATGGATTAAAACAAATCTTGTCATCAGTAGTTTTAATGATGTATTATTCAAGTTAGTGTAAACAAAACTACTGGATTTATTTAAGATTATCACCAAAAACTACATTTTACAGATTACAAAGGAACACATCATGATGATGTTATAATTTACCTTCAGCCAGTACTCATGTTCACTGAGCAGAGCCTGAAGGCATCATGATGTAACTGAAGTGAACCTCCGTTGGTTAGCCGTTAGCGGTGCTGCTAACGTTACTAGCTCTCCTCCTGTTGGTTCATTAAAAATGTTAATTAATGAAAAGAGGACACAAAACAACGCTCTCAAACTAGGGACACCCTAAAGTGTCCCAACTTCTCTCAAACTAGTATCCCTACGGTTTACACTTAACATAAATCATCAATATCCTGAAAGTACACCACACTGATACCATGTTTAGGACTTTTAAAGGTGAATGAATGTGCGTATTCTCTTTAGAGGCTGATCACAAAGTAACAAACAGTCTGTAACAAACAGACATATCAAACAGCCAGCGGCTACCTGACCAATAATAGAGGAGGAGGAGGAGGAGGAGGAGGTCTCTCTCTCTCTCTCTCTCTCTCTCTCTCTCTGGTGAGTCACTCAGAGACACAACAGACAGACAGATGGACAGATGAGAGAGGCTGCTGACGATGACGAGGGGAGGGAGGAGGTTTAGAGACATAAAAAGCCACCTGACAGCCACCACACACACACACACACACACACACACACACACACACACACACACACACACACACACACACACACACACACAGGAAGTGTGGTAAGTGTGTGTGTGGTTCACTGCTGTCATCAGAGCCCATTTACACATGGTGGAAAAAGATCAGCTGCCAGCCATTATTGTTTTAAACGAACATGCACCTGCGGGTGAAGGTGGAGTGATGAGGGAAGACGAGGAAGCAGAATCAGAGAGGAGGGAAGAGGTTTAGGTTTCTTAGTGGAGACTAATGATGTGAGGAGGAGGAGGAGGAGGAAGAGGAGGAGGAGGAGGCTAAGACAAACGCAGGATAAACAGATCTCAGCTAATCTCATTGTTCCTCATGTTCTCTGCTGTTCAGACCAGCGGCCTCCAGATAAAATGTTTCTGTCAGATTCACATCTCTTTCTATGTTTGTGACAATCTTTATGTATTGAATTATAAATATTTGCAGCTTCCTCCAAGCAAAAACAAAAGTCCACTTTATTGATTATATCAGAAAGCAAAGCGACTCGGCTGCAGAAAAGTAGTTTCTAGTATGAATTCATGTGCTTGGTGCTTACTGGAGATCCAGCGTATCTGGACATTGCATTAACAATTATGTCTCTGGCAACCATCTTTGTTCTTTTATCGTATGTCAGTGGGTTTATCAGGGTGGGGGGCCGGGATGTAGTTTGTGTTTTTGATAATACTTGTTCTAAAAGTTCAAAAATAAAATGTAAGAAATAAATCAAAAAGAAAACAAAATGTCCTTTATTCTGCCTGGGTTTGGGGGCACTACAAGTTAGCTTAGCTTAGCATAAAGACTTCAAACAGAAGTAAACAGCTAACCTGGCTCCTAGAGAAAATAGTGCGAATAATATAGCTTAGCCTTCTGCTAACCTCCTCAATGCTAAGCTATTATAGAGATGGAGAGAAATGTTGCTAACAGACTACAGTATTGAAGAGATGGCCCACTCTTGGGCTTATTTTCTGCAACCAGTGTTTCATAAAAGAATGGTGGAATTAACAAGCTAACTAGTGGAGGGCTGGCTACGTAGCTAGCTTGCTAATTTCACCATTCTTTCATGCAACACTGGTTACAGAAAGTGATCCTAACAAAGTTGTCCCTCATCTGGCGATAGCGCTGTGCTTTCCTACGCTGTGATAAGAGCGTGTCGATTAAGCATTAATTGTCAAAGTCAAACTTTCGGAGCGACGGTGGCGCTAGTTAAAAGGTCAGAGGGTCACTATAATGATCAAGAATCATCCTCTGGGGATCACGAATATTCACATGAAATGTCTTAATCTTCATTCAACATGATCTCCAAATTTAAATGAAAAACTACCAGCTTCTTAAACCAGAGGAGGAAGACCTGTCTGTGCTCACCCTGCCGAAGATTGGCACCAGGTGATGTTCACACATGGAGAACATGTCGATGTCTTTGACGATCACCATCTCGTCGTGGTCTTCGTCGAAGATGGCGTCGTTCAGCACGTCTGCAGAGAAAATTTTAAATAAAACAGAGACATGAAACGAATGAATCTCGTGTAATTCTGAAACATTTTTTAATTTACAGAATTACCACCCAAACTATCTTTCTGTATATTATATCATTTGACCATTAGTCCATTTACTGAATTTATTCATTCATCTCAATACTTATTTCCAACATATTTCTTTCAGAATTTGCTTTTTTTATATTCTATTTATGTTATTAATATATCAACCAACAACTGCATTTAATAATACTGTTATAATTGAAAGGAACAATATGTGCCACCGCGACCCGATCCCGGATAAGTGGTAGAAAATAGACGGATGGAATATGTGTCACATAATACAAATTTAAAGAAATGTTTGTATTTATTGTATTATTGCATTTTCATTACTACCACAGTTTATAACGTATATCGTCTCACCAACAGGAAAAAAATAAACAACTGATTAAAAAAAGGGAAAGAATGATACCGACTAAAATAAAAAAAGTTAAGTAAATAAATAAAAAGGGCTGGTTTTCGATAACCCGTTCAATGAACCAACTACTGTATCTATTTGTATCCATTTAGGCGTGTGGATTATCTTACAGATGAATTGCTTATTTACTAAAAAGCTACTTTACTCTGAGTTTTCCTGCTGTATTTGTACCTTATCTTACGTCTTTTGAAAGTGTTTATCTCCAGATTTTTTAAAAATGTGTATAAAAACCGTCCTCCATCACTTTCTGTCCCCTTCGAGGACGGACAGATAGAAACCACGAGGGACGTTCTATTCACCGCCGATCTGCCGCTTTTTTATCGCAGATTTTGGTGTTTCTCTCTGGCAAACAGTCGCTGTCTAATTATAGCTCTGCTTCCATACGCTCCTTCCTGTAGTTGCTTTATTGCATTTTTTTCAGTTGCCGGGGGTCCAATAAACCGCTTTATCTGTTTGTGATGACATAGACGCCTCTCGCGCTCACAGCGGCATCTTTTAATTTCCTGACTGGCTATCTGTTGGAGGGAACGGGGGGGGCAATGAAACAACAGAGGACAGACTTCAGTCTCTGCTGCTTATTGTTGAAAACAGGTTGTTTAACGCATTCAGACTCTCTTTAAGTCTCTTTTTTAAATATTTCTGTTTGTCCGATTATAACGTCATGGCGCCATTCATCATGAAGATCTTTCCCAACACCACACACACATTGTTGTTTTGTCTCTTGATCTGATTTTTGAATTTTGATAGCGTTTTCTCTGCAGGTGAGGCTTTCTGCTTTGGGACAACGAGCTTCTCTTCAGGCTAGAGATATCTTAATAGTACATGTTAACATATTTCTCTGTATGAGTGAACACTTTGACATGTCGGTGACGCTACCGGATAAATCAGAGGATCACCAAAGTCAGTAAGATTCGACCTCTGGAGATCACGAATGTCTGTCGCCATGTTGTATTTTTCACAACCAATGAACAGAAGTGACCATATTTGACTGTGGAGTGACGTAGAGAGGCCGTATGTCTCTGGTAGAGACCTGTCAATCACAGCCCCGCCCCTAAAGCATCCCCTGCTTTATGGTCTGTGTGACTCTAAATGGACCATAATGTACTAAATGAACATCATGCTGTATTGAAGAAGACTTGAAACTAGAGATTGAGACCATAAACTCATGTTTACAATGTTTACTGAGGTAATAAATCAAGAGAGAAGTAGAGTCATTTTCTCATAGACTTCTATACAACCAGAGGAGTCGCCCCCTGGTGGACACTAGAGAGAATGCAGCTTTAAGACACTTCCTCATTGGCTCCACTCGGTAGAACTGGAGGTTGCCGCCTGGTTTGGGCCAAAGTGGTGGGCCGACCCACCGACACTGCCATCCCTAAAACCACAGCGCTTATGTGGCAAAAATGGAAACAAACAACTCTTGTTGCCCACCTGACCTCTACAATGGACAGTAAGAAAAAACTGAGCACACTTTAAACCTCATTGAAGCAACAACAGGAGGAGCTGATTCTGGATGTTGTTTGCCTTCAGGTCGACACTGTAATAAAGTGGTAATCCAGTTTGGAGTCAGTCTCAAAGAACAAAGTTAAAGTGAAAGAATGACTTTGCTGTTCGCGTTGATCTGGGAATGGGGCGACAACGCAGCGACAAAAACACAACCAGACACATGAACTGTTGGTAATTATTTGTCATTTTCGCCCTTTGTGCCTCTCAGTAAATAAGTCTAATAAACATGGAGGATTGTATAAAACCTGATCTCCTGACTATTCTTGTTTGTTGTCCCTCTGGAAGTTGTTGTGTTCCCAGAACTCAACCAGAGCTGAAACAATCAGTTATTATTAGTTATTAATCACCGACGCAGAGCAAACAGCTGATAGTTCTTCGTAGGTTCCTCACTACGAGAGACACATTGGTAACGTATTGATTGCAGTCGCTTTAATGAGAATAGCTGCAGCCCTAATCTAAAGTACAGCGTCACTATTTCTGACAGAAACGATGAACAGAACTACAAGATAAGACCCAAGTTGTTGCAATAAAGAGGAATTAGAGTCCTGCTCATTACAGCTTCTTACACCACCAGTTACAGTTACAATTGCACCCCCCCCCCCCCACACACACACCCCCACACACACACCCTGAAGGATAATAACGTTAAGTCAGCCTTAACTAAATAAAGGGCAGCTGGTGAGGACTGTCGGTTCGGACGCCCTGGGTGACAGAAAGACGAGGCGGTCATCAGGTAATGACAGTGTTGCTCATTATCAGCTCTATGTTTCATAGTGCTGCCTCCTGTGTGTGTGTGTGTGTGTGTGTAAATTAATATCCCACCCACCCACACACACCCACACACACACACACAGAGTGAATAGGCCACATGTTGACACATACTAATATACCATGGAACGGATAAAGGTGGTTATTAGTGCTTTTTAATCACGATAAACTACATCATTTCGCGACCGTGGCTCATGGGGTAGCGAGGGTTGTCCGGTAACCGCGAGGTCAGCGGTTCGATCCTTGGCTGCTACGTGTTCTGTGCCGAAGTGTACCTGAGCAAGACACTGAACCCTTGCTCAGGTACCAACAACTCCCCGGGCGCCTGTCATTGGCAGCCCACTGCTCCCTATATACAGGGATGGGTCAAATGCAGAGACAAATTTCCCCTTTAACGGGATCAATATAGTATAATAAATAAAAAAAAAAATGAAAAAATAAAAATAATTTCCCTCCTCATTCCACAGCAGAGCAACAGCATTTGATCACCTGGTCACCCGCCTGCTCCACCGGTTCATCACCTGGTTTTACCACGGCTCAGTTTAGCAAGGTGTGTTTCTGAAGCGCCCGCGGCCTGTGAGACACGCCTCGGTGCAATCGGGGCCATGAGGCTCCTGTAACGTCACAAACTCAAGATTTCCTGTTTAATCTCTGCATTTCTTTTTGCTCACTCCTTGTCGGTCATGTGCTCGACAACAAGAGGATTTTCAGCTCATGCTTTGTTCAAAGCTGAACCCGTGACCTGCACACACACATACACACACACACACACCTATATACGCACACACACAAGTGAACTCTCTGATCAAATAGTGACACTCACTAAGAAATGCTATAACTCTCCACAAACATCCAGTTCTGGAAACTACATGTGTTTTTTTGTGTTCTCTGCTTTTCCAACAAGTCTAAAAAGGGGAGTCTCCTGCAACAGCCAATCAGCAGACACGACGGAGCACCGCCGCGTCCTGCAGAACACACGTGTGTCTTCACCATCTTCACCAGCGCCCATCCTCTGGGACAAATTAACTGGCTGCTCTTCACATTTATGTCTCCTGTCGCTGCATTCCTTCCTTGTTTCATACAGTGTTACAACACACAAACATCCCCCACAACAGAACAAACTACCTCCAGATGGAGTTCAGAGACGGGGGGGCAGATCCCCGACTCCAGCCACTCCAACGAGCCGGCACCATGTGGATGAAACTGTTCCACACACCTGCACATGACTCAGCAAACCTCACCGATAGTTTTGAGGAGTTGAAGGGTTTTTGTCGGTTGTAACACCGAAATCGCGCACAAAAATCTCTTCAGTGATGTTTCACGTTCAATAAACTTCCTTAAATTCAAGTCTGGTTCCCAAACTTTCCATAAAAATAACTTCATACAGAACTATGTCTGTATGAAATGATGCACAAGGGCCGGGGGCTGTTAGTAACGAGTCATTTCTTCATGGATTCATCTGGATACTATTTATTTAATTAATAATTTACTCTGTTATATGTCAGAAAATAAAAATGATTCTTTAAGGCAGGGTTGGTAATCTTCTTCAAAATTATTTTGGATATTTTTGTTGAAATTCTTTTTTTTTTTTTTCCAGGGACAATGCACGCTAATCAACAGTTGCACTGTAAGTGAGCCAGAGTTAGCCAGAGAGGCTAATTTCCATCTGTTGTCCCCGGCCAGATGTTTCAAAGCAGCCTAAAATAACAAAATCTCAAATTGAAACGGAATTAAAATTCATAGAGAAACAGACAGCAACGTATAGACAAAACCAATACACAGCAAAAGAAAAGTGTACGACATTAAAGCAGAGCAGACATAACAGGTTTCAGCATGCGTCACGCAGAACAGACCCACCTACAGGACAAGCACATATAACACTGAAGCACTTAACAAACACATCAAAAACATGGAAAATAGCAACACTGATCAAGACAAATGCACATATAGATGAAACAAGCAGGCAGGACAGATAGCACATCAATGCTTGCACACCTGATTGGCAACAAGCCATTCCTTGAAGTCATGCTTGAATGTTTGGTACGTGTTTTTGTGCGTATGTGTGGTGGCACAGCATTCCACGAGTGAGCTGCCTTCACAGAGAATGTAGATTTACTAAACGAGCTTGACCTATGTGGAATGACACAATCACCTCTTGAAGCAGATCTAGTGAGTCTGCTGCTTTGAGTGCTTTGTTTAATAAAATCACTAAGTGGAGGCGGGGCCATACCATGTACAATGTTAAAAACCAGACACACATCAGTGAATTTAATGATGTTCTCCCAACTCAGGATATGGTGTTTGGTGAGAATATTGCAGTGATGGTGACTTTTGGGTTTTTTATCAAGTGTTTTTAGGGCTTGTTTATGGAGAATATGAATGGATTTTAATGTTGTAATGTTTTAATTTCTTTACATCCTGACAGAAATCAATGAATCAAATACTCTGACAAAATAAATGAATACATGTGGTATCTGTGGCTGATGCAGGACATTAATAATGTAATGATTGGAGTCTCCAACACACTGCAAGCTTGGTCATCTTAAGAAACTAGCACCTTATCCAACCTAAAGAAACACAGCCAAGTGTTGCCAACTCCTCGTCCAATGAAAGTAGCCGCATTAGCTCCAAAACGTCGCTAAATCTAGTAAGAAAATCACCAAGTGGTCCCGTCAGACCTCCCTCCAAAGACACTCCCCTTAAATGATCATCATGAGCCTAAACAACCAACATGGCCGGTCAGTGGTGCTGCAAGCTACTTTCATTGGAAACGAGTTTTTAGGTTTGATAAATTTTAAAATCTATCTCTCAAGATTACCAGCTTTAAGCCCAAAGCCGCGTCTTCAAAGCGCTTGTTTTGCTCCGACCAACAGTCCAAAACCCAAAAGATATTCAGTTCACTATGTAACTATAGAGAGGCCAAGTACTACTAAATAAATATACAATAGTCAATGGAGAGAAACAGTTCCATGAATTACAAATGTGACGTTTGTCAATTAACAAGATCATTTTGCACATCAAGGAAGTTGAAGTTTATCATGAAACTGTTGAAAATACGTAATTAGAAAGACCAAACAGTGAAAGTCTTGACGTCTCTCTGAAGCTACGATGTGTGTGTGTTTGGTACCAGAGTGTTCTCACAACAACGTTCTTTCTCTTCCTGACTGATAAGAAAGAGTCGCTGGATAAAAAACATATTACGCAAGGAAGTGAAGGAGTATTTATACACCGCGGTACTTCTCCTGCTGAAATACTCAAATTAAAGTACAAATACCTCAAACCTTGAGGTACTCTGACCTTCGTCAATTTTAAATAGGATCATAGCTCAACCTCTGGCTGCATCGGGGAGAACAAGTAAAAGCATCTAAGCCTGGTTTTCATTCACTCTTCATGGCTTTGTGTCAGCTCTTGGTTGCCGAATATGAAAATGTGGTGGTCGTTAAAACGCTCCGGTGCACGTGCAGCGATGTCTGGTTCCTGTTCTGACTTTTTAAAGGCACAGTGTGTTGGATCTGGTCCATCTAGCGGTCCTTTAACAAGAACATTTAAACATAACTGATAAAACAATAAAAAAAATAAAATGTTGTGGTACATGTTTGCACCATTTTGCAGTCCCTATAATTTGTATGTACTTATATAATAATAAGAAAATAATATTTGGCAACCATTAATAATGAGTCATGATTACTGGTGAGCAGCAGGTCCACCTGGATCTCCTCTGACATTGATGGAAGACGTTTTCACATTTATTTTTATGCCAAATCAAAAAATATAACAATACTAAAATAAAAACATTTTAAATAAAAACACTGCGTCCTGCATTCATAAACCAAAAAATAAACAAATAAGTAAGCCAAACATGATAATGACAGCAAAATGCACCTAAAGGAAAAGAAAATGATGAGAATGTTCTCTGTTCAACTTTAAATTAGGGATGTTGTGATTGTTCAGACCGATAGCTGGTCAGATATCAGTGTTTGATCAATAAGCTGTAAGCCTCACTGTGGAGGTGACTGGGACCATTCTTCTATGTGTAAGGAAACAATAACAACAATATTAACAATAACAATGCTCATATCAATATTGTTATTAACAATATCAACAGCAACATTATTATTAATCATCTTATTATTATTATTATTATCATGATTAGTAATAATGTTTGCTGTCCCTATATTATTTATGTTCTTATAACTACTCTTATTGTACAAAGTAACTATAAGAAACTAAAGTATAAAGCAGAGTTAAATACTTCAGTATCTCAAGAAGTTTAGGTCCAAACATATCTTGTGATCCGTCTTCACGTATATAATATGATATATATACATATATATTATTAGAGTGAAGAGAGTTTTTGGGAGCAGTGTTCTCTCCTTTAACTGACACCTGTTGACAAATCCAAACAGCCTCTGAGCGGCTTTGCGGATTTAAAAAACTCACCGATGATTTTCTCCTGGTACCCTTTGGTGAAGAACTGCATGGCGGTGGCGGCCCTCCACGGGGTCTTGAGGAGCCCCTGCCGCTGCGGGTCCTCTCCGAGCCCCCGCAGGATGGTGGTGTAAGCAGCGGCCAGGGACGGCAGGCTCGACTCGTTGTCCTCCACACTCCTCGTGCGCTCCTCCCTCCAGCTCTCCATCACGGGCCGGTGCGCGCCGGACTCCGCGCCCGGATTCTGCGCTCCTGCTGCAGCCGATGTTGCTGCTGCTGCAGCGGTGCGTCCGGAGCCGCCCGGTGCCGGACACTTCACCATCCCGTCAAAGTGTCCGTTCAGCACGGCGCCGCGGTCCGGCTTCTCCGTGGAGCCGTACCGAGTCTGTTCGGAGTCCTCCATCACTTCTTCTTCTTCTGTGGTTTATTTCGGTTCCTCTCGGCGGAGCACTTGGTGAGCAAGTTTGTTGTTTGATGTTTCACTTGTTTGCCTTTGGTTCAATGTGCGCGCTCCTCGCGCTGTCTCGGGATCCTCGAGGATTTATAAGAGCAGGATAATCCAGGGAGAGCTCCCATTGGCTGGCCAGCTCCAGGGAGGGGGCGGGGCCAATATCTTTCACCAGTGGAGGAAGAAGTTCTCAGATGTTTTACTTCAATTTTATAGGTTATATACATTTTGTTTTCACTATCTGAAATTGTAAAGTAACTAAAGTTATCAATCCATTCTTGTGAAGTAAAAGTATAAAGTAGCATAACATTAAAATACTCAAGTACCTCAAAATTGTACTGAAGTAAATGACTTGAGTACATGTACTTAGAAACACTCACCACTGAGCCGAGCCGGAGAAAGAAAAAGGAAATATATCTTTAAAAATATATTGTATTGAGCATTACTGGGCCACTTTACTAGAACATTTATATTAATATCAGTAACTCCGGTATGTTTGCTACAGTAAGAAGTCAGAAGAGCCGCTGCGTGCAAAGATTCACTCTGGAAACGTTTCCGTTAGAACGTGAGATGATATTTTTAGCACAAGAAAATGGGAAACATGTCACGAGAGGACCGAATGTGGATTAATCCGCCGCTGAAAAGAGTCGAAAATAGTTGTTTGGTAAAAGCGACAGAGAAACATGCGTGTAACCCTTTCAGTAGGAACCAATGAGCTGAGAGTCACGGAGACGGACTAACGCTCTGTTCAACGTGTTCACAATAACACAACTGTGAATCGTCCCGTTTCAGTGCTGGATGTGAATACTTTCAATTAAAATCAAGAGTCAAAAAAATGTGAACTAACAAACATTTACATTTATTAAACTTTTAAAATACAGAAAATGAATGTTATGAAAGAAAGGAGGCTCCACTGTTGATGAAGGTCCATCTGAAGAGTCACTGAAGGCCTCTGAAGGGCTTCACATGTTCTCATCAAGCGCCTCAAAGAACACATTTAACAACATCGACAGTTTTCACACATGAACAAAAAAAAATGATTTAAAATGTTTAGTTTTTGTTAAAAGCAAATGCAGAAAGCTTGGCGGAGGGGTCCAAAGATTTCTTCTTCTTGGCACTATTTTCATCTGCTTCCGCCTGTCCATGTTCATTTCCTCCTCCTCCTCCTTCAGCTCTCTTCCTCTTCTTCAGATCTGCGTCTCCAGTTTGGCCCTTTGCTCTTTCCGTCCACGACTGAACGAAATTATACAAAAAAAGAAGAGAAGATGAGATGCACGTTAATTACAGAACAGGAGAAAATCAGATTGTTCTTCTGTTTCAATCCTGCATGACGCCGAACCCCGCCCACACCCCGCCCACACCCCGCACACACACGGTCTGAAATTGCATCCTGTCATGTATAATCACTACTGACAGGCTGCTGCCTCTTTTCCCTCTGCGTGGTTTTGTTTATTTATTTTCTCTCCGAGACAAAAGGAAGCGCTTTCCTGGACGTAATGGAGTCGGGATGAATCATCAGGCCTGGTGAGCGGACGGACGGACGGAAGGACGCACGCGCGCACGCACACACGCTCACGCACGCACACACACACAATAGGCTCGTTCAACTTAAGCCAGGCATGCGCAGAATCGATCACCGGCGATCGGCGCACACTGCATGCTGGCTAGATTTGCGTCCGACTTGCTCTGACGTCATGAAAACGTGCGTAACGATGATCTCACGAGAGCGAGGCGGCCGCAGATTTTAGAGCCAGGCGATGCAGAATTGCTCTCCACCGACTGCGTGACCCCAGGGCATGATGGGAAACTTCTTGCTGTCTTCGGATCAAAGAGCTGATTGGCTCTTAGATTTTCTTTAGTGGAAAAGGTGAGCGACCGTGGTCACTGGGTTAAGAGGGTTGGCTGGTGACCACAAGGTCGCTGTTCGAGCCTTGGCCTTTGACGCATTGTCTGTCAAAGACAGCCCCATATATAGGGATGGGTCAAATGCAGAGACAAAGTTATCCTTAATTAACAGGATAAATATAGTATAAACAAATTTTAATCCTAATTTTCTGTCTAATTGTAATACTTAATGCTAGATTGTTGGCTATTAGTCTCATTTTGTGCAATAACAATAATAATATATAAGGTTATTTATTTAGCATCTGTAAATAAAGATATTTATTGAGAGAGCCTACATCCTACTTGATGTCAACATGTTCTCAGTCAGAGCACTGAATGTGTCCGTCGATTAATGATTGTGAAGCATCACAACACGTATTAAAAGAAAAGCACAATTGTCACTGATGGAAACTTGCAGCGCTGCTTTTCCTCCGTGTGGAGCCTGTTTATGTAGCTGTGATGTTTGGACAGTTGGTTCAGTTTTTCTATTTCTTAAATTTACGGTTGTATGATTTAGAAATTACGCTATCTTTACATATATCTATTTATATAAATGTTTAAATTAATATGACATCCAAGAACTAAAATATGCCCAATCTTATATCCTCAATTATAATAATAACATAGTTAAATATATAAAAAGACATCCAAACTTAAAGACCAGCAATTTTAGGGTTAAGTGTCTTGCTCAAGGACACATCGACATGCTCCTAGCGGAGCCGGGGATCGAACCGCCGCTCCTCTGATTGAAGGACGGCCCTGCGCTCCACTTAGCCACAGTCGCCCAAGATCAGTTCTAGACTATGGCTGTGTGGAATATAGGTCGGTGTCTAAAACCTTGTTGGGAAAACTGGATGTAATACAAGCGTCAAGAATATGTAGCGGGGTCTTTAAAACAACATCTGTGCCGGCATTGCAGGTAGAAATGGGGGAAATGCCGTTGGAGTTGAGAAGAATCCAGATCATGACATATTGGGTCAGTTTACAAGGACATAACAACCATCCAACAATAAGTGCAATTGAGCCATGCTGGGAACATGACAACAGGCCAACAAAGAGCTCTGGTTGGGTTGTTCAGAAGAAGGCTAGTGAATTAGGTTTTAGGAGTTATTCTCCAGCTGTGGTCCAGCTGTTCCTCTTTGGTTACTGCCACAGCCTGGAATTGATTTTGGCCTCCTTGAACTGATGAGAGATGAACGTGGGGGAAACTGTAAGATCTTCAAGTCATACATCAGTTACCACAATTAAATACAGATTTATGGATCTAAAGACCCTACAACTGGCAGAACAGCAGCAGCAGTAATCCCAGAATTCCATTTGGAGTGTGGGAAGAGCCTGAGTGATGATTTATCTGTGTTTACATGTGAGATGATGGCCATAGAGTTATTGTGTTACAGTGGGTAGAGGAGGTCAGGCCAGAGAGAGTGGTGATTGCATCAGACTCATGTGCAGTGCTAACGAGTTTGACATGTTGCCACTCCAGAAGCAGAGAGGATTTACTGTTTGAAATTCTACAATCATTTTTAAGAATCCATCAAATGCGGATAGCGGTTCATTTAGTGTGGGTCCATGTTGGAGTCGATGGCAATGAGAAGGCAGATAAAGCAGCAAAAAGGTCTTTGAAGAGTGGGAGAAATAACGTTAATGTAAATATAAGTAAGTCAGAAGCTAAAGTGGTGCTTAAGGGACAAATCAAAAAGATATGTCAGAACGAATGTAATAAAGGGAGTAAAGGAAGATATCTGTTTAAGATAAACCATTGGTTGGGAACAGGATCTAGTGGACGAACTAGAAAAGAGGAGATGATTATGACAAGACTGAGGAATGGCCATACTGGTCTGAACAGTTCCCTCTATGTTATTAGAAAGCATAATAATGGAAAGTGTATATTTTGTGGAGAAGGAGAAACCGTGGACCATGTTTCATTGTCCTGTCAGAGGTACGAGTCAGCGAGAGAAGTTTTGAAAAAAGGTCTAAAAGAGATTGAAGAGGAAAATATCATTAATGTACTAAAGAAAAGCTTTAGTGACAAATGTTGGAAACGTTTTCTGGAATATTTAGAGTCAACAACACTAATGAATAGAATTTGAGAAAGAAATGTATTATTATTTATTTTTTCTATATATATATATATATTTATCTTTATTTATTTACACACATGTATATGTATGTGTGTGTATATGTATATGTATTTATTTTCGTGTGGTTGTGGTATTGGAGTTCTTAGTCCACACTCCAGATCAGTGGGAGGCGGTCATGCACCCGAAAGCTGTTTGCCAACCGCCAAAAGAAGCAAAAGAAAGAAGAAGAAGAAGAAGAAGAAGCAGGCGGCTGAAAACGGTCCGACTTGAACGCAGTTTTTTGTCAACGCCCCTTTCTACGTCCGCCTGCTCTCGTCTGCTTTCCAGGCGAGGCGCAGTTCAACTCGAACGAGCCTAACCTTCACCTCCGCTGCCCATCAACGCCCATTCATATTCAAACAACACACATTACAAGCTGTGACGTCTCGCTATGCAATTGTCATTTTATTGTATTTGGACAGAATAATGTAATTAAGGGCACGCACGCACGGTTTCTGGCTAAACGTCAATCTGATTATTTTCCAGTTTTTTTATTTAATAGCTGATAAGTCAAAGCCTCGGCTGTTACAGATTCTTTATTTATTTATTACTTTTTTATTGACTTGTTTCATCATCATATGTACTTTTTCTGTGATCCAAACTCATTTAGTCATAAAATATGAATAAAACACGACAAAGAATATAACATAACTTGAGCATCATATTTAAATCCATACCAGTATTTCTAAGGGGGATAAAAAGGGGAAAAATTAATACTGAATAGTAATACTAAAAATAATAATGGTGCGTAAATAAATAAAAGAAACTGACGTACATTAAAATAATCGTCATAATAACTCCTGTTACTCCGCTCAATAATAAAACTTGATACGTTACTGAATTTAATTTGGATCATAGAAACGATTTGCAGCGGGCTGCGTTTGTGTCGGGTCCCTGCAGGCGTCAGTGAGAAGAGGAACATCAGATCAGGAAGTCCAGTCCGATGGATCAAACGTCAGAATAACCGAGGAGACGATCGCTCCGTTAAATCGATCCGTTTGATTAGTTTAGCTCAGTTATCAGAAGGAAAATCTTCTGCTTCCGGCTCCTCAAATGTGAGGATTCACTGCTGTTCTCTGCTTTGTATAAATGTGAATTAAATATCTTTAGATTTTAACTGTTGGTCGGACAAAAACGAGCCCGTTAAAGGAGCTCTGGACCACTAGAGGGCGCTGTGTGGAGCGAAGGTTGTTTGTACTTATTTATTATATCTTTACTATTATCTATAATGCTCTTATAATATACAACGCCTCTTGTTGATGCACATTTCCTCTTGTGGGACAAATAAAGGATTATATTATATTATCTTAAGTGAAGCAATTTGCCAAAAGAAAGACTGCAGGCTAGTAAACAATCATAAAAATGTAAAACATTAACTTTGCAAACGTCGGAAAATCGCTGAGCACCTTTGTGTTATTGTGTGACTTTAACGTTGTAAAGGGTTCGTTCACATTCACACAATAACACAGAGAGACTCCTGAGCTCTGAGAGGTGACATCACTGTTTAGTGTCTCTGTAGAGAGAGCACAGATTAAACCTCTGAAGAGGTTTGGTTTGTTTATAAGAAAACTCTGCACTCAGTCAGATTCTATCTTCACCAGAAGATAACACACATCCAACAGGATTGTAATTTTGAATAAAGATTTGTAGGTTTTCAAGGTTTCCGGGGTTTGCGGAAAAAGTCCTGAATATGAATTCATTATTTTAGTTTTAGGTGTTAAATGTTAAATGAGTTGTCTGACTGCGACTGCCTTTGACGAGAAACAACGCAAACACATCTTAAGGACAAAGTGTCGCGTTGTGCGTCTGCGTTATCGGACATGTTGAACACTAATTCTCAAATGCGTAAAGTTTAAACTGGGCTTCAGAAGTTAAAACAAATCTTGGCGGTACAAAACTGTTAAATTTACAAATATAATATGAAAATGTAATGGACAATACAAGCCCCCCCCCCCCTCACAATGCTCTTTAAAAGAACATTTGTTCTGACGCAAATCCAGACAACAGTGAAGGAAAGTCTTTAAAATGCATCGTGTTTCTCCTGCAGGCTGACTGGCTCACGGTGTTATTATCATAAGATCAATGCTTTGTGCCCTCGCTGACAAAACACACTCCACAGGGTTCCCAGGCAACAGGCGGCAGCGCCCCCCTACCCCCCCTCACTTCCTCTGCTGAGTGTCCTCCAGCGCTCTGCTCAGAGTCTTGATGTATGCCGGGTCAGGGACCGGGTTGCGACACAAACGCTCACATCGACGTCTATTAGCGCTCGTGTGGATTGAAGGATGAGGTGTGTCATTTCGCACGCACACGCGCACGCGCACACGCACACGCACACACACACACACACACACACACGATGAGACACTACAGGACTCCTAATAATACAGAATAAAACCAGGTTATCGGACAAACGTTTGAACTTCTATTCTGATGTTTTACGGGCGTGTTTCAGCGTTTGAACACCAGCATTTGTGGCAGAAAAGAGGTTTTCCTCAGGCTGCTCCATCCCTCTGCTCCTCAGCTCCACTGTCTCCTCTTGTAGTTACTGAAGACAGAGAGCTCATCGCCTCTAGACCGGTCCAGCAAGCACAAATCGCTAAAGTCCCGCCCCCTTTTGGGAGAAAGAATCGTCCATTGGGGCTTAAAGTGTAAAAAAACAAACACGAAGTATTCAAATACTGATTTCAACGTCTATCCAACGCGGCATCGGCTGAAGCTTCGGAGCTGTATTTCTAGCAGACAGACTGTTGTGCTAACGGGCTAGATAGCTAGCTAGCGAGCTGTACCCAGCATGCCGTTCGGCGGTGTAATTTTATAAATGTACAATTATTAGTGTTACAAATTGTTTATGTGTCACAAACTGTTGTGTCGTGGTGTTTTGCCCTGTTAAAGAGCGTTAGTTGTGGGTTGTTAATTGTTGTAATAAAGTTATAACCATGACTAAGGTTCCCTCTCAATACACTTAACACAAGTAGCTCCGACCGTTACGCTCATAGCAGCGAACAATATATTCTGCTGCCTGTTGGAAGAACGACAGCAGTTGTTTCGGCTGTGCACCGGTATGACGTGTGTGATGAACCGGTATACCGCCCAGCAGTAGGTGTGGCCTATTTAGCAGCTACAAGCACAAAAGGGCTGCAGGCGGATAGAATTGGCTCCGGTTTCCGGTTCCTCCGGTCTGCTGTACGAGCTGAACCGGTGTTTGTTATAATGAGACGTTCTGGCAAGTTTAAAAGTGGCCAACACCAGCATCCTGTGCCGACAGCGTCACGGTGCTCAATCCGGCTTGTATTGCATTAGTATAAATAATATAATAACAATATTAAAAATGATAGAACTGTAGACAATAAAAGAGCCGAGTATCTGAGTGTGAAGCGTCTCCGGGGTGCAGAGATCCCTGCAGCTGATAATCATTACGGTCTCGGAGTCTAATTGATGGTTTCACTGGTTGCTCTTCAGGCCAAACAAGACGAAAGCAGGATGAACAGGAAACACCTGAATCCCTCTGAAGGAGCAGACGAAGAGGTTCTCTTTGTGTAGGAGCCATTAGTTATGTCTGTGTATTATATGTTTGAATTAGGAGCCTATCTCAGGTTGACCACGGGTGGCAGTGTGGAGTATTGCGGCAGGTAATTAATATATGGGGCACAGGTGCAACTGACAGGTAATGAGGAATGGGTGACGGGGAGATCGCCCGGTTTTTACCGTAAGCCAGACACACCTGAGGGAGACCAGGAAGAGAAGTGCTATCCTATTGTATATGTGAACACTAATTAAACGGGAACCTCACCCAAAAGAGTGAAACGCCTGGAATCTTATTGTTGTAGCGAGTAAAGAACAGGATCTTCTCCCGCACCCAGCCGAGTGGCTAGTTGCTGGAATCAGTCACTACACTTTGGTAAGAGTAGACAAAGATGGAATCAGCCGTGAGGTGGAGGTTTAATCTGAAGGATAAATAACATAATATCAGCGCGACGGCGTTATCCCAGAGGTGTAGCACCCATCCTCCGGTTCTCCTTAGGTTAATTAACACTGTTAGCTCTGTTAGCAACGTTAGCTTCTAGCTGCCGGCTCACCCGTCACGAGGCAAATCGAAATGCTCTGAATTCCATATAGAGAACCTTTAACTCTCTCCTTAAGTGTTTACGTACACAGGCTTCTACCTTTGACTCTCCTACCAACGAAACAGACAGTTTCTAATACGGTTGTTCATCCGTTTGTACCGATGTCTATTCAAAGCCTTGGAAGTCACACAACATCGTATGAGAAAAGGAAAGGGACCCCGAACGCTTCACAGAACTCCTTCGACTTCTATTTTCCTGATGTTGATGTTAAAATGAGGCTGTAGTGAGCTGAAGTCACGTGACTTGAGTTCCCCCTCAGGTAAACAGCTAGCTCTCTTTGAGCACCGTTAGCTGTCATCATGTTGAGAGCCGTCGATGCTGCCAATCCCGTCTTCACCATCTTATCTTCTTCTTTGAGTTGTGCACTTTCATCCAGGACTTTAAAAGCCATTACTTGTCGGATGCTTGAAATTTGATGACTTTTGTTCACGGACCAAAGCTGAAATTGTAATAACATTAATGCTAGTGTTACGTATGGTTCTATGTCCTGCTGTGAATGTTTGTGCTTGGGGGTGTGTGTGTGTGCATGTGTGTGTATTCTGTGTCTTTTGACTTCTAGGTGCAGCTCCCTAACGAGTGATTGAGGGCACCTGGTTGAGGATGTGGTTTACCTATATAAGCGCCTCCTTGCTCCGCCCTCGCTCTCTCTCATCTGCCCGGCACTAGACCCGGGTCTTCAGTTCGAGTTGCACATTACGGTGTATTTGTGTCCTGTAATAAACTGGCACCCGTGTGTTTCTGAATCTAACTTGGTGTTGTGTCCCTCCTTGTGTTGCGACTTCCGAGCCGGTCGTAACACTAGTAACATCTTGGAACGATTCCCATCGTGACTTTAACTAATCTTTACCATAGTTCCTTTGTAGATTCCAGATCATTTTGCTTAAAATTTGTAATTTTTCAGGATTTTTTTCAGGACTTGCGATCTCTTAATATGACCCAAAGCGTCCTCTCTGAACGCTGTTTCTCACCAGTCTTTCCTCTGCCGACAGCGTCCTGAAGCGCCCCATGGCCTCTTTGATGACGTCCGTCTCCTCCAGGTCTGGGTGGTCAGCAGTGATGCTCTTCCTGTTCTCCTCCAGCCAGAACTGGAAGCCCGTCTTCGGCCTGAACAGACAACAGACAACAAACAACACAACCGAGTCAGTCCACCTTGTAACTTCCAATGAAGTCACTTCAAAAGGGTTGTACGACTCCATCGGTTACCTTGTGGGAGAAAAAGGTATTTGTGTAAAATCAATCATATCCATAATTTGAAAGGTATCCATGTAATTCACATTCATACTGCGATAGTGGCCGGTATCACCGTCACATGTTATTCACGTCACTGAGACAGGGAGTCTAGTATAGTGGCCTTGGAGCCCGGGTGAAGAGAGAGAGAGAGAGAGAGAG